GTCATTCAGGGTCTCTAACCATCGGTTGCTATCATCTCGCGGTCCCCAACCAGGTAGTCTACACCTACCAACATGACTCAGTCACTTGTCAGTGACTTCATGGACTTGTGCCATGTTTTGGTTTGGCCGCCCCTAGCTTTCTTCCAACCTACTCCTATACCACTGAACATAGCACGTCGAGGCAGTCGGTCGTTGGGCATACGTAACACGTGTCCCAGCCATCTCAACTGATGAAGTTTCACTACTTCATCAATTGATTTGCCATCCTTACCTAGTACCCGTTTCCTAACAACTGTGTTACTTACTCGATGGTCCCATGATATACGAGCAATATTTCGAAGACACCTATGATCAAATACTAGTAACCTACGAATATCCTCTACTCTTACCGGCCATGTTTCACTGCCATAAAGTAGGACGGAACGAACTGCTGCGCAGTAAACCGTCCTTTGGTTGATAGACGGATATCTCGCCTACGCCATAAATGACGCAAGTTGGCAAAAGCTAGTCGAGCCTTCTGTATCCGTGCTGAGATTTCGTCACACACTAAACCACAAGGGCTGATGAGACTTCCAAGATAAGTGAAGCGGTCGACACACTCAACTACTTCACTCCCTATCACTAGTTCGGGTGTCGATGTAACCCAATCCTGAAGCAACATTTTGCATTTCGAGGGAGAGAATCGCATCCCGAACATGCTTGCATTGTTGCTTAGAGTGGTCAGAAGACTCTGCATTTTGTCAGCGTCTTCACCAAATAAAACTATGTCATCAGCATATTCTAAGTCAACAAGTGAACCTCCCGGTAGAAGTTCAACCCCTGGAAATTTAGATGAGGAGAGTGTTATCTCTAAAAGTACGTCGACCACAAAGTTGAACAAGAATGGGGAGAGTGGACAGCCCTGACGAACACCACTTGAGGTAATCAATTCTGATGACAGTTCGCCATAAGCTCTCACTCTACCAGTTGTGTTCGAGTAGAGAGCCTTTATAAGGTTAATGTACTTCTTTGGTACTCCTTTCAGTGACAAACACTGCCATAGAACCTCACGATCAACAGAGTCGAATGCCGCCTTAAGGTCGAGAAATACTACCATTGTGGGGCGTCTGAATGTGTGTCTGTGTTCTAGAACCTGACGTAGTGTGAATATCTGATCTATACAACCACGTCCAGGTCGAAAAACGGCCTGGTTTTCTCTAGTCTGCTCTTCACGAGCTTTGATTAGGCGTCGAAGTATTATTGAAGCTAATATTTTAGACACTATATTAGTCAAACTGATTCCTCTGTGATTGTCACAAGAGGACTTTTGTCCTTTCTTATAGACTGGCACAATCAGTGATTGAGACCAGTCAGATGGGATTACGTCCAGTTCCCAAATTCTACCTAAGACCTCAGTTAATCTCATTGCTAATACTGGACCACCATCCTTAAAAATCTCAGGAGTAAACCTGTCAGGGCCTGCTGCTCTCCCTCGTTTCAGATTTCCTATGGCTTTTTCAACTTCGTAAAGGGACGGAGGACCTACATTAACTTGCCATTCAGGTTGACTAGAGATCGTGGGAAACCGAAGTGTGGCTGAAGGCCAGTTGAACTGATCCCTAAAGTGTTCTGCCCATCGATCCAATCTCCTGGATTGAGAATGAATAATATGTCCATCTTTCTCTGAGATTGTTTCGCTAACGGTCGGGTTCCTAATTCCGGTTTCCTTAACGAGTCTGAACAATTGTCTGCTATTACCTATTGCCGCTGCCTTTTCCATCTCTCTTGCTTTCGCTACCCACCACTGTTCGCGATCATTGCGTAGACTTCTTGTCAGCTTGCGCTTAAGCTGACTCCGCTCTTCATTATGTTCAGAGCCAGGTGGAATGAGTTTCCGAGCATCTATCAGTGCGATAGATGCTGCTGAGATCCAGTGTTGCTCCCTAACCTTCTGGTTTACCTTACTAGCAGATATCACTGCTGTTTCCACAGCTTTTCGGATATCATTCCATGCTGCATCGGGGTGGGCATCACATACATGGCTGCCTAACTGTTTTCCTAGTTGTTCCTGAAATATACTCTTAGCTTGACTATCATTAAGTAGGCCCTAAGAGGTTTCCTTGCAGCGTCTTTCCTACGTCCAGTAAGACGCAAGCAAATACGCGCTCGCACTAGAGCATGATCTGAATCTAGGCATGTGCTCCAGAATGAGCGACAGTCTTCTATCGAGCCCCTCCATCGGTGGCTGATAGCGATGTGATCTATTTGGGTCCAACGTTGGGACGAATTAGGGGGTCGCCATGTTAAAAGATGTTTTTCCTTATGCTTAAAGTTAGTATTTGCAAGGAACAGGCGGTTATCTGAGCATAGCTGCAACAGACGGTCGCCATTATCTGTTCTTTGAGCCACGACACCATAAGATCCACCTAGGTGTCTTTCCCTATCGCTTAGTTTACCTACTTGAGCATTAAAGTCACCGGCCACTATTACTACATCCGAGCGCTTAGCTTTTCGGAGAAGGTCCGAAAGCTTTCTGTAAAACTCATCTTTTACATCATCTGAGCTGCAGTCAGTGGGAGAATAGGCAGAGACGACGAAGAGGCAACGACGAGTGTCCCTATCTTTCCGGATTCTTACTGTTCCGTTCAGTCGGACAGCGCACAAACGACTGTCTACTGGGATCCACTCTAAGAGAGCTAGTTCTGCCCTAGGACTCAATGCTATACCTACGCCGGCGAGGCCACGGGAAGCAGAATCAGGGCTTCCAGATACACGAAGCGTAAATCGAGTCGGTTCTTTATTTTGGCATGGTGAGGTCAAATGAATGACGCTACTCGGATCCTGTATGCGCGTTTCGGAGACGCAGCACACATCGATGGCGCGAGATTCTAAAGTTTTAGCTAAGGAAGCCTGCTGTCCTATTTGGCAAAGTGTTCGTACGTTAAAAGCTCCTACGTGTAGTTTAGAGCGTGGTTTCAGGAGACCAGGAATGGCGTTCCACGTACTCGAATCGTTTGCCCTAGCGGTGCGAGGTGATAAAGAGACGTGAGGAGGGTTAGTCATGGAGATAAGAGAGGTATTAGGAGGTGTAGGAAGGATTTGAATGTGACCACCTTGGTCTCTTGTGCTGTTACGGGTATGAGGGCTGATGTCACTTCCCGGCTGCCCACACCGTGGAAGGGTATTTCTTGAGGAACCTGAAAAGGAAATTGGATTAGTGTTGGTCTTGACGACCTGGGAGCGTGACCGCAGAGCCCAAGGGACAACTGCTTGAGGCCGGTCGCGCACGGCCTTTTTGTGGAAGGTTTTTGACGTGTTAGCTCCGTTCTTCAAAGGGCCTTACCGCCGGAGACGGAAATCCGTGAGGTAAGGTGAGGTGTGACATTTTTAGGGTCGACCTTTTCTAACCCCACCCCTCCTTGTGGGAAGGCAGCATCGCTGTCATGCTGGTTGTCCGAAGGAAACACCTTACTGCTGTCACACCCCTCTACAGTCAGCAGTACGACTTCGCCCTCAGACCTTGAGTTGCTGCTTTTAGTCTTACCGTTCACCAATCGACCTGCCTGGCATGGTAGAACCTACAGGAACATATGTTCCAGCCAATATAGCTCGGTTGGGTCATCACGATAGGCAAGCCCGACCACCGCGTCAAGGTAGCAGCTTCGATCGGGCATGAACTGATTGATGTTAGATCATCATTGAAAACCTGGAAGCGCTGCATGAACGTTTTGTGCTTAAGTAGGACTCTTCAGCAGTGCGCATCCACGCTTCCGCCCACGGGATTCGAGCCCAGGTCCTTCAGTCTCGCGCGCAAACGCTTAACCTGTAGATCACTGAATCAGTCAGCATCCAACGGTGTTGATGTCTAACTTCAACCAATCCACGAAATTGCGCGACCATCTTCCTTTGTACTGAGGTAGAGACCTGTCTCTACTGGACACAGATTTTGACTCAACAAACTAAACTTATAAAATACAGTGTCTATAGGATATGAATGAATTACTTTATATGATGAACATTGTTTATTAGAATGAATGTAGCTAATAATGATTGCGTAAATTAGTGAATAATTTTTTTCTATAATTCAAACGTTTAATAAGATATGATGAACAAATATAGAAACAGTCATACATGTATAAAGATTGTACATGTTTAGAAATGCGTAATTAAATCATCTGAATAAGTACAAATTGATTGAATGTATAGTTGATAAAAGGAAAATAATTCCAAAATTTTGTGATCGAATAAGACTTTATGTACTTCTTAAATCAAACACTTTCATATCTGAAGTCTAATAATATATTGCTTGACTGATCAAATCGGCATAAAGTTTAAAAAATATTAAATTCAAACGTAGATAATGATGTGGTTAAAAGTCATTACTTTTCAGAAGTACTCATTTATGATTTCCTTTTACGACGATCAACAAACTTGTTTTTCCTTTTGTTGCCTTGGTATTGAATATTCACAACTGGAAATCCTATAGTTCGTATTTATCTACCAACATCTACAGCTTAAACTATTCAAAATTCCTAATGTGGAAATAAGAACAACACATCAGTGAACAATACTGTTTTCAACTAGATCTTCATCTTTTTTTTCTCTAATATGCAGTAATATATTTATGTGCATAATATGAGGAAATACTAAACCAATCATGCTAGTTTGTGAGACAATAGTAACAATGAAATAGATTACATATTCAAACATATATGTTTTACTGCATCATTCAAGTAAAGCCTGATAGAGGTCTAATTGACATCAATAACGTTCTTTTATATGTATTGTAGTATTACAGCCTAGACAGTGTAATGACACTTTTCAGTTGACTTAACCATATCTAACTATGTAGTTGTAATATTACGTGTATACTTGTTTATATTGTTACTTTCATTTCTAATTATGTATGTACACAAATACTCGTTACTATCCTCCTAAAAATTTTCACTGTAATCTCTTTTCGTTTTGGTGCTGTCATTATATTGTTACTCATTTCCTATCATCCCCTCCTCAATTTTCAGACTGTAACAATTGCTGTATATGGATATTTTGGTACATGTTTACTTGCGTGGCAGTATTTAGACCCATCGAAACAATATGAAGGTCATGATGTTGATATTTATGTGCCAATTTTCGGTTTACTACGTTTCTTCTTCTATATTGGATGGCTGAAGGTTAGTTGCATGTGTTATGTCTTTAGACGTTGATTGATACCACGTCCAAACATCACTAACCAGAATTCTGATTATAATTGTTTCCCGTTCTATGTCTACCATTTCTTCCGTACCCTAGTATACTAAACTTGACGTTCACGGTTAACCTTGGGCCGATGCAAGTTAAGCTCTTACTGGCTCGGTACACCCAAGCTTTTCTCTATCCCTTGCATTGAATTCAATGGCGAGTCAGCAGTCAGCTTCCATTACATTATATTTCAACCACATGTGGGTTTATGTACAGAAATACATCATACCATAAAATAAAAAAATCACGCTTATACATAAGAAGGCTAAAAAGGTCCATAAATAGTGCAATCTGTAAGTAATTAATTGGCAGCAAACTGGAAATAATAAGCTGCATCGTAATAGTTAGTGAGTTGAAGAAAAGCTAACGATAACGAATTTATAAACATAGTAATTTAGTTACTTAGTAATTTGTCAATCAGAATCCATAAATTATAGGTAGAGATGGATGATGACTAGCAGTGGAATTTAGGACGCTCGTTTCGTTCTGTTTTGGACTTGTCAGGTGGATTTACCTGCATCCCAAAGTTGATATTCACTCCGAGACTCGAACCCACTACCGTTCACTTCAAACGCCATCTCGTTATTCAGATAGTTACTAGCTTGTGCAATGGGTTGAAGTTTTAATTCATTTTATAGTGCTTGTTTGAATCTTTCCAGTGATGTTTAGGACTGAGATTGACCCACTAAACAGTTTCTGGAGTTATCGGTCCTTCAATCTTCGTTCTGAAACATTCACCACTATTATTATTATTATATGTAATATATATATATATATATATATATATATATATATATATATATATATATATATATATATGATTGGAGTTGTGGTGTGTATATATTAGACGTCTTAACAACTCACTATCATATACATTAATGTTATTTTGGCTCTTAAAAGTTGTGGTGAACAAGCAGTAAGAATTAATGAATGTTTAGTTGATACCCTTAAATACCTGTATATTAATATATCCAACTGCTTCTACGTACATTTATTTATTTATTTTGTTTTGAATAAAACTTTCTGATATTTGACCGTGTTATGCATTGGATTTGTGTTACACAATTCAGACGTCCTTTATAGATTAAGCGTATTTAGCCAATAGAAATAATACGACTTTTAAGATTACATTAGTTTAATGAATCTTATTAGTTTCGTAAATCCATAATATAAATATTCAACTTTAATAATAGTGCCTCCAAATGCCCTGGTATGGCCGAAAGTGGGGAGAGTCCGCTCTCCCTCTCGAAATGCTCTCACATGGCCATGCGTATATAGCCTCTGACAAGGAAGTCCTACTCACCGCCTTCTCGTGGCGGGGGTGTTGTTTACGAAATTGAGAGGACGAAAAGCGAATGTCCTGCGCTTTAACCGGGTTGGTGGACATGGTGAGTCCACCTAGGGGAGTTGGAATGGCCTGATTACAAACCAATGGTACACATGGGCTCCAGTATCCTAAAGAAACAAATGGAGTATGAACCAATCGTCGGTCACCGGTTACCATGGGACTTCATCTCCTTACGATGCTCCACTGCCTTGTGGATCAGACCTTTATGTCAAAGGCTCCAGGTGTGGTCCCCTAAGAAAACCACCTGCTTCGGTTTGAACACCCGAGCAGTATCACAGCCCTCACACATATCAAATGAGATCTGTGTGGCGCATATGCATATGGTGCCTCCTTGTACTACTATCTGTGTGTTAAAATAAATAAATAATCAATAATAGTATAAATATTACTGTAGAATTTCGTCCTAATGAATGTGAATCGGAAGGGGGTTTTGTGGAGATTTTAGTAATTTCAATAGTTGACTCATGATTTCAACTATTGGAATATGAATCGGTTTCTTTCTGGATTATTGTTAATAGCGATAGATACTTCTATGGAATAGTCTCAATTATGACTAATTTATCGACAAGTTGATCAAATAGAGTGATTTATTTTTAACATTTTTACAATACTAATTTAGATGTTACTCATTGAAATTTATTAATCAAGTGATTCGATTTTTAGGTTTCACTATGAACAGAGTTAAAAAAAAAAACAACAATGATCCTTAGTTATTACCACCCAATAAACATAGTTACAGTGTTTTACACTGTCATTTATACTTTATAGTGTTAGAATCGAATTTCTTCTATCAATAATCAAAGTTTTAAGTACTCTGTTTATAGGGTGGTATCTTTTCAAGGTTTCTTATTTTAGAGTTTTTGTTTTCTAAGTTTGAAAAAAACACCAATCTCTTTCTTGATTCTGATATTCTCAACTCTACAGTTTATTTGTATCCAACTTGTTTATTTTATAACTTAATTCGACTTTTTTTACTAATAGGTTGCAGAGTCATTAATTAATCCATTTGGTGAAGATGTTGATGATTTTGAAATTGAATATTTAATTGAAAGAAATTTACAAGTGAGTTATTTTGTATGTTTAGTTATAATTCATTTTCATGTGGTATATATATATATATATATATATATATATATATATATATATATATATATATATATATATATATATATATTCTACAGCAATTTGGAAGACTCTCCTGGTCCCCCACATTCTACGAGCATTCCGTGTACATAAATTAATGGTTTCTCTGGTTGTCAGAAGGGGCATCAGCCTCGTGACTTCCGAAGGAACTAGGCTTTTACCATTAGGCGTCATAGCTCTTCTAAATGAAGACCTTCTAACTCCCAGGATAGAGTTTAAGTGGTTTGAATTATTTTTTTCTGGTTAGCGTTTTTAGCGATTTGGTTTTCTACAGGATGGGGTCGCCAACCTCATGCCTGACCCTCCTCTCCTTTATCCGGGCTTGGGACCGGCAGTAGCCCCAGCGGGGATATATTTATATAGGCATCCGTTGGTTATTATTCAAGATGGTCTTTAGAGATTGCCATAGTGTGAAAAAACTAGATTTATTGCCAAATACCACTGATAACATCAAATATAGACAGTTCCAGTGAATGGACAATAATATGTTCGTGGAAGCTTTATTTTTTTGGCTGATATGCTGCATAAAGAGATTGAAGTATTGTAACACTTAAGCGTATCAGACTAAATTCGATTAAATTTAAAAACGGAAACTACTAAATTCCGACTTAGTAATCTAAAAATATGGTAGACTGCTTCGTTCATTATCTAAGATTTGATTGGAAATTATTAACTTTCATGACATCTAACTCGTAGATTGCTTCATTGACACTAGGTTTCTGGTTTCTGATCGCTCAGATGTATTGAAACAGCTTCCGGGAGTTACCGGATCCAGATTCTGTTTCAAATTTGTAAGCATAGTTTGATAATCAGTTTTTGGAATCGTTACTCAAGCTTTGTAAAAATTCGCCCGTTAGGGATTTATGTATCTTGTCATACTCGTAATTCACTGAAATAAGCAAACATGAGACAAAAAGTTGTAAGAAGCATCAAAAACTCTGTTTACAGGTAGGAAGTGCTAAGCAACTTTATTAAGGATTTTTATGACTCTTTCTCAGTGTAATCAGTCCCTATCTGCGCTCTACGCCTAATCTGTGTCAACTTCTGTCACAATGGTTATGTCTAGGTAATCCACACAAGGTGTTCATATCCCAACCAAGCATAGAAGTTTGAAGTTACGCGGACTACCTGTTGATGAGCCATGATATTGAGGAAGAGTGCCACAACTACTTCTGTTTCCCCAGATACTAAAACTTACACGAAGATTTAGTCAGGATCACTACTTAACCCTGACAAACCGTGGCTAAAGATTTCACATAAACTTTGCTGATTCAGCACAGTGAAAAATTTGTGTAAATACCGTGGACATGTTTATAAAGTGGCACTGTAGCAATAATCAGCAAGTCATCCAATTTGTTCAGATGTTTCACAGTACCTGCTTTGGTCCGGGCGCCCGGGCAGTATCTCAGCCCTCACTCAAATCAAGTGATTTATGTGACGCATATCTATTTGTTGCTTTCTTGTGCTAATGTTTATGTGTTTAAGTAAATAAACGAATAAAATAAATACCAAAAACTTCGGTGACGCATAATGACATCCAGCTCATTTAATACTGTCAAACAGTTTAGCAAATAGAATGGTGTTAATCACTTACTATCTCCCCCATTTTATCCATATTCAGTACAGTCCAAAACTGTTTGTAGACATTTAAATAGACTTTATTGAAAGGGTAAGGCCGATGTTCTACCCATTTAAGTAATCAACAGGTTTATAACATCTTATCAAATTACTTTTAATCCTGTTGTTCTAGTGTCAAAGATTCATTAGAGATGCCGGCGACACCCGGTATTCCCAGCCGGTCACCCATGCAAGTACGGACCGGGCCCAACGTTGCTTAACTGCGGTGATCGGACGAGAACCGGTGCTTTCAATGTGGTATGGTCGCCGGCTTTTTTCAATATGTTGAGGCTAATGTCCTCAATATCTGACTCCAATAAATAATATCTCGTTAACTGAGTATTTAATGCAGGCTAAATCTCCTGGTAGAATTATGGATTTTACGCGAGATTATTCAAAAGCCTAAACACCAGTTGTAGAGATAATTTATTGTTAATGATTAATAAAAATCCGCAAGCGTACAGCAAGCAAGCACACGATGAAACAAAGTAAAAATGATGCGCAATGGAGATGGCTGGGAAGCCAACTACTTTTTAGTCAGGCGTTAATCAATATTTATAGGCAGACAAAAATAAGTTACAGACATGTGATGAATGGAATGGGAAGTGTACACACATATGCGCTCATATAAAAACAATGAAGACTGGTAAGCGAATAACTAAAAAGGTCAACATATGACTCAAGTAGAATGAATAGATTGGATTGTCCGAAAACTAGAATAAGGTATATGGGCTTAAAATAATAACTGACACTACAAGGTCCTCCGACTCTTTACAAGGTGGAAAAAGCTATAGGAAATCTGAAGCGAGGGAGAGCAGCAGGCCCTGACAGGTTTACTCCTGAGATTTTTAAGGATGGTGGTTCAGTATTAGCAGTGAGATTAACTGAGGTCATAGGTAGAATTTGGGAACTGGACGTAATCCCATCTGACTGGTCTCAATCACTGATTGTGCCAGTCTATAAGAAAGGACAAAAGTCCTCTTGTGACAATCACAGAGGAATCAGTTTGACTAATATAGTGTCTAAAACATTAGTTTCAATAGTACTTCGACGCCTGACTAAAGCTCTCGAAGAGCAGACTAGAGAAAACCAGGCCGGTTTTCGACCTGGACGTGGTTGTATAGACCAGGTATTCACACTACGTCAGGTTCTAGAACACAGACACACATTCAGACGCCCCACCATCGTAGTATTTCTCGACCTTAAGGCGGCATTCGACTCTGTTGATCGTGAAGTTCTATGGCAGTGTTTGTCACTGAAAGGAGTACCAAAGAAGTACATTAACCTTATAAAGGCTCTCTACTCGAACACAACCGGTAGAGTGAGAGCTTATGGCGAACTGTCATCAGAATTGATTACCTCAAGTGGTGTTCGTCAGGGCTGTCCACTCTCCCCATTCTTGTTCAACCTTGTGGTCGACGTACTTTTAGAGATAACACTCTCCTCATCTAAATTTCCAGGGGTTGAACTTCTACCGGGAGGTTCACTTGTTGACTTAGAATATGCTGATGACATAGTTTTATTTGGTGAAGACGCTGACAAAATGCAGAGTCTTCTGACCACTCTAAGCAACAATGCGAGCATGTTCGGGATGCGATTCTCTCCCTCGAAATGCAAAATGTTGCTTCAGGATTGGGTTACATCGACACCCGAACTAGTGATAGGGAGTGAGGTAGTTGAGTGTGTCGACCGCTTCACTTATCTTGGAAGTCTCATCAGCCCTTGTGGTTTAGTGTGTGACGAAATCTCAGCACGGATACAGAAGGCTCGACTAGCTTTTGCCAACTTGCGTCATTTATGGCGTAGGCGAGATATCCGTCTATCAACCAAAGGACGGGTTTACTGCGCAGCAGTTCGTTCCGTCCTACTTTATGGCAGTGAAACATGGCCGGTAAGAGTAGAGGATATTCGTAGGTTACTAGTATTTGATCATAGGTGTCTTCGAAATATTGCTCGTATATCATGGGACCATCGAGTAAGTAACACAGTTGTTAGGAAACGGGTACTAGGTAAGGATGGCAAATCAATTGATGAAGTAGTGAAACTTCATCAGTTGAGATGGTTGGGACACGTGTTACGTATGCCCAACGGCCGACTGCCTCGACGTGCTGTGTTCAGTGGTATAGGAGTAGGTTGGAAGAAAGCTAGGGGCGGCCAAACCAAAACATGGCACAAGTCCATGAAGTCACTGACAAGTGGACTGAGTCATGTTGGTAGGTGTAGACTACCTGGTTGGGGACCGCGAGATGATATCAATGGATGGTTAGAGACCCTGAATGACATGGCTCAAAATCGTTTGCAATGGCGCAGGTGCATCTACTCCTTGTGTTCTTCTAAATTCTTATCTGAATTCTTTATGTCCTCTTTTTTCCTCTTTCCAAATTTATTTCACTGTATTATACTCTTTAAATAACATCTCCAAACCCTAATCTTTCCGATTACTGCTTATACTTTTACCGCCTCTATCACTACGGGATTTGAATAGACAACTGCACCTCTGTGCTAATGTGCTGTGGCAACTTGAACTGATGTACGTACGTACGAAGTTCTACGTTGTTACTGACTGACTTTCACTATTTGAAGGCAGTAAAATTTCTCTATAGAAGATACAAGCATTCGGCTTTATGAGAATATATTGAAAGGGAAAGAGGACTGTCCTCGTAGTCGTAGGGTTTTTCTGATTTATATATTCTATATTAAAAGAACAATATTTTCATGGTATCCGAATGAGTAGCAGTTTGTATTTCTGACGTTTCGTAACTTAATATAAGTCACTTTTTCAGTATAAATAAATAAATAACAGAAACAAATTAACAGAAGTTTAAATAGTATAATGGAAATAAAGCAGAATATTTCTTGTTCAATCAAAACCATAATAGGTCTGAACATGCCAATGTGTTATTTTTGGTCAAAGCGATTCTGTACGAGACATCATTGTGTTTATTTATGTGTATATGGTGGGTATGAAAAAAAAGTGTAATTTAAAGTATAAAGTTACAGTTTGAGCGTGTGTTTGTGTAGATTGTGTGTGTCAAACGTGGTTTTATGGATAAACAATACAATTTTTTAATTTTGTCCCACCAAACTAAGCAGGAGAAGCCATGAGGCTTCTTGGGAAAAGAATAGAGCTTTTGCAGAGTGCGTGACTGGAGCACTGCAGAAAGCAAAGTAAATGGACATATCAGAAATTTACTTAGTTACATTTCTTGTATAAGTAGGGAATTCGATTTAAATCGTGCAGATGAACACGTTAACAATCTGCACTTTCCTATCACATTTAGAAACCTTGTAACAAATCAAAA